TATCGACTGTAAATATTTGCTAAAGGAAGTTTGACTTTCTGATTTAACATTCTTTGCAAATAATACCATGACATTGCAGTGAATTCTGTATATATTTGTTCGTCTTTCTTTGGATTGTCTTCGTAGATTTGAAATGACACTTGTGAATTTTGTTTGTCATATACAATTCTCACATAAAGTGTGCTCTCGGTATTTGCATATTCATCAGCATATTTTGCATAACATGAATTTATTTTATCTTCTATATTTTTTAACGCAGTCTGTAGAGAAGATGAAAGGTCAACTTGTATTAGCTCAATTTCTTCCCACATTTTTCGTTTCCCTTCAGATATATAATCTATATGAAACCTTACAATAAATGGAAAACTTTTATCTTCTACAGACACAAACTTCATTCTACGAAAGCCAATAGCTTTTGTGACAGATGGGTCTCTTAGCCATCTTAATGGGTAGTCAAAACGATAGCCTTCATGCTTTACGGTCTCTGTCTCAAACTTTTGACCGACATTAGTAAAAAGTTCATCTAATGGTTTAGTTGTAGCAACTCTTGAATTTTCTTTTTCTATTGGAAGCATATTTTATCTAGAATAAAAATGTCAAATGAAACAGCGTCTATGAGAGAAATACAACACAACCGACAACTCATTATGCAAGCTCTAAATAAGAACACAACAAACTTTTCAAACTATTCTAAGATATCTGAGTCATTGAAAGAAGGAAACTTAAAACTGACATTAAACCCAATGACAGATGAGTTTCTATTTCAAGACAACAAGAACCATACTGTTTGTATAAATCCAACAAAAAGAACTTTAAACGAGAAACCTATAGATGAACTTCTTTTGAAAGCAGATATTGACAACAAAGCTGACAAAGAGTATGTCATTGAAAAAGTTCAAGAAGAACATGACAGAGCAGATGCAACATATGCAACAAAAGAGGATGTTGAAAAGAAAGCTGACAAAGAGTATGTTGACGATGAGTTAGCATATCTGGCTAGTGGGTTAGTGAAGAAGGCAGATAAGGAATATGTGGATGAAAAAGACAATGAAATTATAAAAAGGGTTGAATGGTACCATGAACGGACATCGAAGATTTTAGAAGGTAAAGCCAATACAGGGTGGGTTTCAGGATGTTTAGACCTTAAAGCCGACAAAGAAACTGTAGATATGTTGACACAAACGGTTTCAAGTCATACCAGAGGTTTAATGGAAGATGGACAACAGTTGAAAGAGCTTGAGAAAGGTGTTACAGAGTTAAGGAATACAAAAGCAGACTCGACATGGATAGCTGGATATGTAGATGCAACAAAAGAACGTATTTTAGCATGGACAGAAGGAACATACCCACAAAAATATCATAGACATAGCATCTCTGACGTAAATGAACTTGAAGAAAAGTTATATAAAAAAGCAGACAAAACAGAGCTTCAAACATTAAAGACAGAAATACTTCAAACAGTATATCCTATAGGTTCTATTTATACGTCAATGAACTCTACCAGACCAGAAGTAGTACTTGGTCTCGGAACTTGGACTCAAATAGTCGACAGGTTTTTGTATTGTGCAAACTCTTCAAAGGAAACAGGTGGAAGTAAAACGATTTCAGGTGAAAATTTACCTGCACACAGTCACTACATAGATTTAAGTACATCTCAAGCAGGTTGGCATAAGCATAGATATTGGGATTGGTCAGGAATGACAAAAGGTAAAGGATATGATGTTAAAGACGACGTTAAGTTTGCTATAAATTGTTACTGGGATGACACTCAGGGAGAAGGAAACCATACACATTTCGTTTCAGGATATACGCAAACAACGGGACAAAGTAAAGAATACATGCCACCTTACATGACAGTTTACGCATGGTATAGAATTGCTTAGTCGTCATTTTCAACTTCTTTAGCATATTCGTCAGGAGTTGTCTTATATTTGTTAGGAACTGTCTTTGAAAGTATACCACCTTGAACTTTGACAGTTTGAAACGAGGTCTGACAATAGTAGTTTTATCTTCTGCTTGCAGTCTGTACATTTTGCCATGTTTGCTAAAACTTCATAATATTCTCTTGTATACTTTCTTCTATTTTTACGAACACGAATGTGAGTACCTGTCGGGTTCCCATTGTTGTCATAGTCAATAGTATTTTCATATGGGTCGCGTTTAGGTATTTCTATTTTTACTTTGTCACCTTTCTTAAGTTTGAAGCCTGGCATTCTTTCTGTTTGTCTCTTTTGACTAAATTGTTAAATATAAAGTCTTTCTCTAAGTCGGGGTTGTTTTTCATTTCTTCGGGGGAGTGGTTTCCCAAACCTTTTTGTTTACGGCTATTGTAAATATTTAAAACTTGTCTCATCTTTGCCATGGAGAAGTGCCTATATTTGTCGTCATATGACATTTCATCTACCTCACCACCTTGTGGTTGATTTAAGTCTCTTAAGATTTTTATACAACTGTCAATGACACCAAGAGCAGAATGGTTTTGGTCGACAATGAAATATTGGTTTACATTTTTTGAACGCAGATAGTTTTTTACATCATCTGATTTGAAAGAACTTTCACAGTCAGATGTCAGTTTTGTTGGATGGTATTTGTCAACGAATATTGTCAAAGCAGTTTTCACATCTAAAATATTTTTGGACTGTAATGGTATGGCTTCACAGTATCTTGTGTTTTGACCGACAAATATTAGCCAGTATGGTGGTCATCTTCTCTATACCTCGGAATGTTTTCCAAGATATCCATAAACCAAGCATTTGGTGTTGAACTAAAGATTTTTATCATGAGTGCTTTCTTTGTTGCCTTAGAAACATAGGGGTCCTTGTTTGGATTCGTCATTTTTACCCTATAAGAAATGGGTTTATTGGCGCATTAGCAGGAGTTGCATCCAGATTTTTGCCCGCAGTGGGAACAATAGCCAGAGGTGTATTTGGAGTTGGAAGGAAGATTTTGATACATTAGGTATACTTAAAGAGAAAGCACAACCTATTATACAAACTGTACAGAAAGGTTGGGATGTAGCACGAGATGCAAGCAAATCTTATTCCAAATCCTGAAACAAGAGGAAAAGTTCAAGGATGGATGGACAATGTAGGAAGACAGCAGGAAACTATTATAACAAAGCAAATGACTACTATAACCAAGCAGGACACTATATGGACCAAGGTGAAAGATTCTTTAACAGAGGATATAACCATGCACAACAATGGGTAAACAATAACCAACCTCAACCGTCTCAAACGTGGGGAATGTAAAGTTTTTTACTGAGATGAAATGAACAATACAGCATTGAGACAAATGGGTTCAAGATGGATTTGTCGGCTTCCAGCAGTTACACAACCACGTGTTTGTCAAGTTCTTCCTATACCTCAGGAAGTTTTAGACCGACTTAAAAAACCTAAACAACCAGTTGAAAACAAAACAAACTAAAATTTTACTGAGATGAAATGACCGAAGAAGTTGAAACGGTAGATTTGACACCACAAACAAAAAGTTCAGAACCATTGTCAAAACCTGTCAAAGAACTTACAGATGAAGAGAAAAATTCAATAATAGAAAGTGCCAGGTCTGGAAATACAAACCCTAACTACAAAGTCACTTTTCATAGAAATGGAACGGCAAGTATCTCAAAAAAGAAACAGACTCTCACAAATAAAATATTGAAGTCTGAAGGAGCTTTCGAGACAACAGATGGAAAAGTTTACTTCACTGACCAACAGTTCATTATAGAACATCTCATTGACTTAGAGTCGAAATATTCTAAACTTTACAACAAACACAAAAAGTTGAAAGGAAAACAAAAACAAATGGCATATGATATTTATGAAGATGTTGACGACACAACTGTTCCTGCAGTGTGAGGTAAAGTCAGAGGAACCGAAAAGTGACGAAAAACCGATAGAAGAAGAGAAACCAAAACTGAAGATAAACCAAAACCAAAGTTTAGTTTCCAAACTAACCAAGTCAACCTTCATTAGCTGGTATGGGTTGGCGTCAAAGACTTCTGGTATCAGGCGGTTATGTAAAGTAAAGAAAACAGTATATTTTTATTTTTATTTGAACTGTACGCTGAGTTTGTTGGAGAAGACCGTTGGGAAACTTGTTTGTTACAGATGAGAAATATGAAATGGCATACCATTTAAAACAAAATATTTTTAAAAAAACATTTTTTTATTTTATTTGAAATGTACGCTGAGTTTGTTGGAGCAGACCGTTGGGAAACTTGTTTGTTAGATGAGAAATATGAAATTCACTGTTGTGAGTCATTTGAAGTCAGAAACAAAAAGACAAAAAGAGTTTTAAGCGAATGGGAGCAAAATGACGGATATGCTATGATGAGGATGGGTGGAAAAAACTATTTTAAACATGTTGTCATTGCAACTCATTTTATACCGAACCCTAACAATTTACCTTTGTAGACCATATAAACCGTATAAGAAACGACAATAGACTTGAAAACTTACGTTGGGTCACTTGTTCTGAAAACAATAAGAACAAAAGCAAATTTCGAGATATTGTATTCGAATTTGTCGACGAACTAGAAGATGAAACAATTGAAATTACAGACTATGGTAAGCATACGTTTGAGTTTTACTACTATAGCGAAGAACAAGACTCTTTCTACTTTTATACCGGCGTAAACTATAGGAAATTACAAGTATGTTTTACTAAGGAAGGCTATGCTTATGTAAACACTAGAGATACAGATGGAAAACACGTTCGAATACTTCTTAACAAATTCAAGAAGCTATATGGCATACCATTTTAAAACAGTATTTTTTTACATATATTAAATGCTTCAGGTTGAAAAACAAAGAACAAAAGTAGCAGATACAAAACCGTTAGACTATATCTTTACAAATGCTGGTAGGACAATATCAGATGAAGAAATTTCATCCCGAATATACAGGTTTGACTATCCAATTCGTTGGCTTCAAAGTCCTTCAGATGCAAAGGCAATAGGATTTAGAAGAGTTTTGTTTTCAAATAGAACTAACGCTTTTATGTTTGCAGTATATTTTCATGGTCAGTATAGAGGTTCTGATGGTCTAATAGACAAATTTGATGAAATGAGAATCTTTACAATTCGTTCAGACGAAAACCTTGAGAAAACTCTAAATGACTTTCAAACTCAAATGAACAAATATTATTGGGAATTTCAAGAAAAATACGACTCTTTACTAAATGGAACATACTATCTGAAACTAGAATATGACAAGATGAACTCCACCGTTTCATTTCAAAAGATTGAAATTAACCCTCCAAGAGATACAGAGTTTTTATTTTGGGAGGTAGACAAACGTTCTTGGGCACAATTTCTTCGGTTACTAAACCAGAACGAACCATTACCACCAGATGGTCCATTTAAATTTATACTTCCACCAGCAGATTTGACAGTTTATAGAAACGTGTTTGACCCTCAAAATGTCATGTGTCATGCAAGTTTCAGTTCAAGCAACAATAGTTTTCTTTGTATTGGTAAGGACTTTTATGACTTTGCTTCTAAATTCTACGAACCACCTAGTAACAGTTTCTCTGACTTTCAAGTTTGGTTCACAACAAATGGTGTGCAACATATTATTCCATTGTACTATGACTTTTATCTCGAATTGTCTTTCATATATAACTACGGAAAAGTGCTGAAAAAGTATTGAAAATAATGTTTAGGTGAAGAGGTGACATCTCACCCGTTTTCTCACCTCTTTTCTCACCTCATGAATTTTCATGAATTTCATCGTAAATGTTTTGTCGAAACTTCTTCGTAATGAGCGTAAATGACCCAAAAATAATGTTTAGGTGAAGAGGTGACATCTCACCCGTTTTCTCACCTCTTTTCTCACCTCATGAATTTTCATGAATTTCATCGTAAATGTTTTGTCAAGACTTCTTCGTAATGAGTGTAAATGACCCAAAAATATATTTTAGGGTAGAAGGGTATATCTAACCTCTTTTCTAACCTCTTTTCTACCCTCTTGAATTTTCATGAATTTTCATGATTTCATCGTAAATGTTTTGTCGAAACTTCTTCATCGTATATGCTTTGTCGAAACTTCTTCTTCGTAAAGACTTTGTTGAGACTTCTTCGTACATGTTTTGTCAAGACTTCTTCATCGGAATGAGCGTAAATGACCCAAAAATAATGTTTAGGGTAGATGGGTATATCTAACCTCTTTTCTACCCTCTTTTCTACCCTCTTGAATTTTCATGAATTTTCATGATTTCATCGTAAATGTTTTGTCATGAATTTCATCGTAAATGTTTTGTCATGATTTCTTCGTAAAGACTTTGTTGAGACTTCTTCGTACATGTTTTCTAACCTCATGAATTTTCCCGAAATAAAAAATAAAGTTAGTTTTATTTTTTTATTTTTTTTTATTTTGTATGTAAGGACAGATATGTCAGTCGAAGCAAAAACGTTCACGAACAAATCTAATGGCGAAACATTCACAAAAGGCACTTATAACGGTATTGAAGTCTTACGTAGAGACAAGGATGGTTATATAAATGCAACAAATATGTGTCAGCAGTTTAGGAAAGACTTTAGAAAGTTGTTGGAAAATAAGTCCTGGGAAGAGTATTATAAGGCATTTTGTGAAGAATATAGCAACCGCCGGAATTCAGACGGTTGCTTTTTATACAAAATTCATGCCGGAATTCCTGATGAAATCAAACAGGTTAGAGGAACGTATGTAGACCCAAGACTTATAAACTATATAGCAATGTGGGCTTCTCCAAAATATTGCATAGCAGTTGGAAAAATTATGGACTCCATAGACAAGAAAGTTCATGAGAAGTTAGATGAAGAAGAACTTGAAGATACAGTAGAAAATGCTAAACCTTTGTTCGAACAAGAAGTTAGAAAAATGTGCGGAAAACAATTAGAACATGAACGTGAGATATGTTATGGTTATAGAGACTCTCCATACGAACTAGACCAATGGGAACAAGAAGATTTAAAGAGAGAATTTAGAGAATATGAACTCGCTAAGATAGCATTTGAAGCTGCAGAAAAGAAGTTAAAAGTTTGGGGTCGTTTTGTAAAAAAATATTGTGAGTAAATGAACCATTTATTTTTATTGAATTCAGCACAAAATAATGTTTAGGTGAAGTGGTGACATCTCACCTGTTTTCTCACCTGTTTTCTCACCCGTTGAATTTTCATGAATTTTGACACTTTCACAAAAAACATAAAAAAAGTTAGTTTTTTTAAAAAAATATTTTTTATTTTTTATTGTAAGAACATGTTAGCAACAACAGCACCAAACTCGTTAGTCATGAATCCAACATCTATGTTAGTAGAGATGAAAAGCTTCATTCCTTCTTCATATACTTTTGAGACAGAAATACAAAGAATTAAGCAAGAACTTTTAACAAGTAATTTAGACTGTAGTGCGAAAGATGAAACAAATGAACAGTATCTTTATGACATGCAGGACATTATTGACCATTTACCCAAATTGCCTGAAATCCAACAACAAAAACTCACTATTCCTGAATTCGACGAAATTGAAGTTAAAGTTACTGACTCAGTAGAAATAAAGAAGTTCATACGAAAGGTAAATTATGAATTCCTTGGTTTTCATTGCAACCATAAGGTTATGGACAAAGATTGCGACATGGTATATAAGAATGTTTCTGACATATATAAATCTGAAGAATTTAAGACCTACGACAACTTTGTTTCATTAGTTGCAAAATGTGTTTGGGAAATAAGAGATAAAGATAGTAGGGGTAAGGTATGGAACGAACAAATAAGACCCGCTATGTTCGAGATGAAGAGAGCAATTGACGCCTTAGTTGTTTTAGCAGGTAAGGTTTCAGAATATAACGCAAAAATGAACCCACAATGTTCTAAATGTAAAGCAGCAATTAGGAAATATAACTACTCCGTCAAAGAGATAGAAAGAATGCGAAACGACTATGCAGACTTAAAGAAAGAAGCAGAAAAACCAGCAGAAAATAAAATGGATATGTTAGAATTTCTTAATAAAAACTATCCAACAGCAGAAGATTTCCTTCTATCTGACGTCAAGAAGAAGTATAAAGAAACTTTCGGTATCGTTAAAACATTCGATGTACTAAAAGAAGAAATAGAAGCTACGAAATTGTTCAGGATTTCAAATATACATCGTACAATTCATGTAAAACGCTTATAAAATAACAGGTGAGAAAAGAGGTGAGAAAACGGGTGACATCTCACCTCTTCACCTAAACATTATTTTTTGCTGAATTCAGCAACAAAATTCTGAGTAAAATAATTTTTAGGGCATGTGTCAAACCGTTGAGTTTTCACAAAATTTAAAAAATAACGTTTACCATGTAAAACGTTTATAAAATAACTAGGGTGAGAAAACAGGTGAAAAAACAGGTGACATCTCACCTCTTCACCTAAACATTATTTTTGCTGAAAAATGACCAAAATTCATGAATTTCCTTAAGATAGAAAAAATAAAGTTAGTTTTATTTTTATTTATTTTTTTATCCGGAATATAAAGACAGATATGTCAACATCAGAGAACACAACAACAGTTATAGTCCATGAAGCTATAAATGAAGAATATGAGTGGGTTCAGTTTAACAAACAACTCCGTCTCATTCGTTCGGTCAAAGACGATATGTACCAAATGCAAAGTATTTTGACGGCTTGTTTTGCTCCAGACACTAAGCTTCCTAAAGACTGGTTTGAATTAAATAGCACTCATGAACTCCTCAGTGAGTTTGAACATGTAGAACTTAAAAAGATGTACCAAGACAGGCAAAACTTACCATCACATCTAAAAGGTATATATGTTCATAAGTTCCTAGTTAGTTCAATAGCAATGTGGCTTCACCTCGTTATGCAATCTACATACTTATGCTACTTGACGAACTTTGTACAAAGCAGAGAGAAGATATGATGAAAGAAGACAAAAGCATTCAGAAAAGAATACCACGTTCAGTACCAAAAGGAAAGGAAAAGAGTTATAAGTATATGATTTATACTGAAGAGATGGAAAATGAAGAAGACAGAGATATGGTTATGTTGCATTTAGTCAGAAGAAACAACAAAAGCTTTTACGACCTTGCTAAGATTTACAAATCTGACAGAAATTGGTTCTATCGCGAAAACTTACCGATTTCAATGACCCCGAATGAAGATGTGAAACAAATAGTTCAAGATACGTTACCTCAAACACACTATGATATTAAAGGTTGTACAATACTTACATTCAAAGAAGATTTGTCATTGTTAAAGGAAAAAATAACAGAGTATTTTGACAACTTCAAACAAGTAGGGTAAATTGCACTCTTTATTTTTACGCTTGACTTCAGATGGCTCAAGTAGCTCTATAAAGTAAATTGGCTTGTCAAATCCTTCTGGCATTCCGAGTCCTTCCATCCGACATTCCGAGTCCTTCCATCCGACATTCCGAGTCCTTCCTTCTTGCATTCCGAGTCCTTCCTTCCTACTGGAAAAAAATTTCCCGACAACTGGAAAAAAATTTCCTTCCGACAGGCAAAATTTTTTCTGTTGTTCGTCCGTAAACCATTCAAATTTTCGAAAATTGAGAACTTTTTGGTCGAACTTCAGGAAAAGTTTTTCCTTCCAACAGAAAAAATTTTTCCTTCCTACTGGAAAAAAATTTCCCGACAACAGGAAAAGTTCTTCCTTCCGACAGGACACAAACGAATGTCCGACGTTCCTCTTCCTGAATGTCTTCCAAAGCCAGAAGAACCGAAAGCTGCAGAACCACAACAGACTAAGACTAAACACTTACATTTTTACGCTTGACTTTTTACAATTTGAACTTTGTTTGCGTAGATATGAATTCTGAAAGAAGTATGAGGGTCTTGTATGACTTTGTACTTCTCCCATAGTTCATGTCTGTCAAACTTACCTGCCATGGACTCTTTCATAAGTTCCATGAAATCGTCTTCGGACAATCCCGGGAAAAGTATGATATCAGTAAGTATTCTCTTTACATCCTTACTTAAACTCTTTGCTGTCTGTACACAAATGACAACTGAGATGTTAAAGTGTCTGAGCTTCTTAAGAATTCGACACATATCTTGTTCTCTATTCTTTAACAAAGGATGAGAGGCGAAATCATCTAAGATAAGAAGACATCTGTGAGGGTATGTCTTCCAATCGTAAGATTGCAATTTCTTCGAAATGTATTCTATCTCTTTCTGTTTGTTTCTGAAGTGGTGTTTGTCTAATATTCTCTGCATTTCCTCATTTGGGTCTTTAAACTTCGAATTTATATACTCATTTATAGCATTATACTTCAAAACTCTTCTTTGGTACTTCTTTATCCAATCTAACAACTCAGTATCCTTTATACATACTAACTTAGACTTCTTTATAATATCTTTGAACGAATTGACGGTTTGGTCAAATTGACCAGAAGTACTACAAAATGACAACTAACTCATAGAATGGGTTCTTCTCATCTAGTTCTTGTTGTTGTGCAGCCATTTTAAGATAAGTGAAAGTCTTACCCGACCCAGGTGGTGCAATTAGACCTGTTATACCATTCTGAGCAAATAAGAACTTGTCATGTATGGGTTTTATCTGAGCATTTTCTAACTTCCTCTTGTTCTTGTTTAAAACATTCTCAAATTTTTTGTCAATGTCAGCAAACTTTTTTTCTAACATATTTTTAGAAAAATTAAAATTTTTATCTTTTAGAAAATGTCTAGCGATTTCGCTATCTATATTCGAGACAAGCTTTTCGACAGCAAAACATCTGTCGACCATAAAATCTTACATAGTGTAAACAAGAAAGGTGAATTTGTTCTAAAGTTCTGTTTCTGGGAATATGACAAGAACCATAAAACATTAAGCAGAGCAGTCTTAAAATTTGTCAATGACAGACTTGTTGACAGAGATGACACCGATTGGAAAGATGAAGTCCAACAAAAGTTCTTAGAATGCAAAGAAGACACATGCGCCGTTCTTGAAGATGAAATAGAAAACAGAATAGATGAGCTATTAAAGGACAAAGAACTTTTACATAAATATGGTTGCGCCAAATTTGACATAACTCCACCAGAGAAGAAGAAGAAGAGAGAAAAGAAAGAAAAGAAAGTAGAAGAAAAGAAAGTAGAAGAGAAGAAAGAACCTGAACCAGTTCCAGAGAAGGTGAGATATGACATGTAAAAATAAAATTTTATTTTTAGAACATTTCTGGGTCAATGTCAATGTTCTCTTCCTCTTTAGGAGCAAACACTGGCTTAGACTCTAAAATCTTTTTACCCAATTTACCTTGAACTTCAACTATCTTAGACTCATAATATTCATAGTCGTCTGCTTTCTTTGGTTCATAAGGTATAACAAGTTTGTATGCTTTGCCTTCTTTAAGGTTTGAGAACTTTCTGTCAAAATTTTCTTTGACTGCTAACAAACCTTCTATGTCTAAGTCTTCAAAAGTTGCACCATTTTTAGTCACAATAGCAAACTTAACTGGTTCGATGTTCCAAACTTTGCTGAATGAAGACTTTTCAAAATGGTAGAAGTAAACATTCAAATATGTGAATGGGTCTAGTTCTTCTTTAAGTCCTGACATGTACTTGTTTACTGAGATGAATTTTGTCATCTTTTCTATCGGATAAAAAAATATTTTTTTAAAAAATTTACTCAGAAAAATTATTTCTTTCTATATTTGCCATTCCGAACTTCGAAAAGATGTTTTATACCAGCATAGAATTTTTCTCTAGAGCTTGGTCTTATATCGTTTTCATGACAATATTTTCTATATTCTTCATATAAAGCCTTTTTTTCATACATTTCATAAGGACAATCTAACCAGAATAGCGCATATCCATTTTCGTTATCTAGGTCTCTATATGTTTCTTCTGTTTGTAGAATTTCGCTTTCTCTATTTAGTTCTATGTCTATATATTGTGGCTTAAAAAGATGTGGGCAAGAAGGGTCTGGCGCTATGTAAAAAGTTAATTTTTCTGTCATCTTTTCTATCGGATAAAAAAATATTTTTTTTAAAATTTACTCATAAAAATTTTTCTTTGTATATACGCCGTTCTGAACATCTAAAAGATTTTTGACATTTGCCAAGAATGTTCGTTTAGAAGCTGCCATATAACCATATTCTTGACAATATTGTTTATATTCATCGTACAATGACCTTTCATCTAATGACACAAAGTCAGTTTCATCTATAAACAGTTCATATACACTCTTGTTTGCTTCTAACAATGTTTGTCTCTCTTCGGTATATGGAATTTGTCTTGGATTGAACTTTGAAATATCTAATGTCATAAAGTATGAGAACAAGTGGTTGTAAAAGTCAGATGTCAAAGTTTCTGCTAAGTCGTCAAAATATTCTGTATCTTGCATATGAGAATCTGACGTTCTGACAACTACATATCTTCTGTCAGAACTTTCTAACTTCATCGGAACAGTATTGTTTGAAACCATAATGAAGTTTGCAACATTTTCACAAACTCTTTGGTCTTTATACTTTCTTTCAACAACTCCAACTTTATCTGTTATAAGACTCTTCAAAGCATCTGAGTTTAAAACTTTTGTTGTATCTATACTTTGAAGTTCGTTACATACTATAAGTTTCATATTCTCTATTGAGGAGTTAAACTTGCCACAGATGTTTTCTATGTTTGTCATATTAGGGTTCGAATAGCCCTCTAACAGTTTGCATAAGATATCTGTAAAGAAAGTATTCTTACCAGTTCCTTGTTTTCCAATTATAATGAGAGCAGTTTCATTCTTAGCACTTGGATGTTGTAAGATGTTTGCAAACCAACATAAGATATACTCATAGACTCTTTCGTTTCCATTGCATAATTTTCTTTGACATGGTCTAATCAAGCTTCTATAATATTTTCTTTCCATTCTACTTGTTCGTATTTATATCCAGTGAAGATAGAATAGAAGTTTGGAGAAGGTGTATAGAACTTTATACCTCGAACTGAAAAATCTTCTAACTTTGACAATAAGATATCCCAAGCATCTAACATCTTCATGCCAACTTGTACGACTTTTATTTTCTTAAGTTTCTGTCTACATTCTTGTTCTGAAACTATTGTTGCTCTTGGTTTGTTAAAGACTACATCCCATTCTTTCATGACATAACATTCTGGGGCAGAGTCAACATAAATGACTAAACGTTTCAAATTCTCGACTGCATTGTTATAGTCTCTAAATGGACACATATTTCTGAATGCTTGGAAGTCATAAAAATCTGAAACATCTATTCTGTACATTTTTATAAAAATAAAAAAAATATTTTTTTTATTCTTGAGCTATTTGTTGCATTTGTTGTTCTTGAGCTATTTGTTGTTGAAGTTGTTCTTGTAATACAATACTTTCACCGGTTGCATCTTCCATTCGAAACTTTCTGCCGTCATTGACAAATACATAGGACATAAAAGTTTTACAGGAACAAAGTTTGCGTCAACTAATGTCAACGTTATACTTGCCAAAGTGTTTGAGTTCACTAAGGTTGAAAATTCTGCATTCGAATGAACAATAGGCAAACCAGCAGAGAAAGTGTTGTTTATACGCATGAGTATCTTTTGGTCATAGTAGTTTCTGTCGACATTCGAATAGCACTTTGAACCTAAGTTTGAAACAATATATAGATTGGTGTGCTTAATGTCAATGGAATAGACATTCCTTGTATGACACCTTTTCCTGTTATAGGAAACTGTTGGTAGTAAAAACCAGATATAAGTTTTGTATTATAGCTCATATCGTTTATACTAAACTCAGTCGGACATCCAAACATAATGAAACCTGCTCTAGTTGCCAGCACATGTTTACATCCGTCCTTAAAGTATTAAATAAGTCAACAAAACCTGTTGGTGGTATATCTGAGTAAGTATCTTCAAAGAAGTATTTTTTACCATTCACAACAACAAAGTCTTCTGGTGTCCAAAAGAGCAAAACAGGCTTTAGTCGTCATCGTGTTTAAGGTCAGTTTACAATATCGTCCTTGAGGACTTTGTAAGTTTGTTGTTATAGAATTATATGACTCAGGGTTTTTTAGTCGTAATAGTATAAACCACTATGTCTTCTGCCATTTTTACTTAGCAAGTAAATTTTAATGAAATGTTGTGGTCGTCAAATATTTTTATGACGTCTGGGAAACTATATTTTAAGTTCAACGTTTCACCTCCTTTCATAACGTATATCTTGTCAATGACATTATATGAAACACCACAGCAACTAATGTCGGGTTCTATTTCTTTGATGTTTATATCATCTGCCTCTGTCAAAAGTTTCAATAGTTCTTTCAAAATTTCATGAGGTGCGATGACATATGAGTTCATTTTTACAGGGTTGTGTTCGACCAAGTTTAACATTATACTTAAAGCTTGACAAATCTTCTCCTGAGTTTGAAGTTTGTCTTTCAGTTGTTGGTAGTCATTTCGAATATCTGCAACAGAACTTAAGTCTCTGCTAACTTCAGGGTATGTTGGTTGTCTTTTACAGGAACTATTGTTATACCATCTTCGTCTTCGTATGGTTTCCCCACTTCAACATCTCTTTCTTTGACATTGACAACAACACTTTGACTGTTTTGTTTGAGTTGGTGAATTTAACTTCACATCTGCCACCGCCATTAAACCTTTTGAAACACTTACGCTTCTATTTTTTCGGAAATGACATTTTACTTAGAATAAAAAGATGGACGTATTTGAGTATCTCTTCGAATTGAAGCAGAACAAAGTTTACACACACAAACAATACAAATACATTGACAGAATAGTTCTTTATACAAACAATGGTAAATGTTATAGAATAGCAATATTTGCTGAACCAAAATATTTCCATAAAGCAAAGAAAGTTGGTATAACCGAGATGGTGAAAGTTCTTGACGTTGACAAAAATATAACAACAAAACTGACCGATATTTCTAAAGGAAAGTTTATCTTACAATTTTATGTCAAAACTGGCGTACTGTCAATATTTGACGGAGAGAAGTCAGTTCAAGAACAACTTACTGACCTGCTGCCAAAATCTGCTCGATGGAAGCTGTCGTTATGCCAATCTGAGGAGCCCCAGCAGGTTTCATCGAACGAATTTT